TTTTCATGACTCCTTGTAATAAGGCCTAGTGATTGTTTACACCAAGGGTGGGGAACATTTTTTCTGCCAAAATTTATAACATCATTCGTGGGCCATACAAAATCATCGACTTAAAAATTAGCCTGCTATATATTTGGTCAAACATTTAATTAACTCACCCCAGTGTGATGGCTGGAATTGCTGTTGCCTCGGCAGGGCCAGACCAAATGATTTCACAGGTCTTATATGGCCCGTGGGCAGGACATTCCCCAACCCTGGTTTACATAGTAAAATGTGAACTATTAGCAGTTTTTGTTTTTTTTTTTTTAATTGAAGAAAATCAAGCTGGGTTAAAAAAAAAAAAAGAAAAGAAAGCTATCTTGAAATCCAGACTTCCTATTTTCTCACTATGGAGTGATTTTTACAAAGTCGGGAAAATTCACTTTGTGTGGCTTCCTCTAACTGTTTTCTTCTCCCAGAGTTTTGCCACTGTAACTCTTCTATTTTAAATGTTGTTCTTTTCAGTTTAGCTGAAATTTGATTAGCACTAAAGCTAGGTCACCAGGTGGAAATTACTCTAGCCATGTCTCCCTGGCCTTGTTAACCCTCGGTGGGTCCCTATGACTCTTACTAAGGAATAGGACAGAGTGATGGACTGTGACCCTTTCAATTCTAATTGGGAAATACTTGAATGTGAGAGGACTTTAAACATTTTTTGGAAAAAATGGAATTATAACTTCATGGAATTTTCCCACGAGCTTTGTGGAGCCCCCTTGTATGTGATGGCATACACTTTTTCAGCTCCTGGCTTGTGTTCACCCTCATCCCCCAGTCCATAAAGCCAAGCTTGTTTTCACTCTAAGACCCTAGAACCAGGGTTGGTAGACTTATTCTGTAAAGAGCCAGAGAGTAAATATTTTAGGTTGTGGGCCATATGTTCTCTGTTGAAACAACTCAACTCTGCTGTGGTAGCAGGAAATCAGCTGTAGACAAAACATAAACAAATGCATGTGCCTGTGTTTAATAAAGCTTTATTTATGAATATTGCAATTTCATATAATTTTTGCATGATGAAATAATGTATACTTCCTTAGACTTTTTATTTGCCAGCCATTAAAAATATAAAAACCAAGATTAGCTGTTCAAAAACAGGCATATATCCTAGAAGATACAACCAATAGAGCGCCTAGCCAAAAACCTGGCCTTCTGAAATGCTTTGTGATTTGTTAGGAAGGAGTCATGTGACAGTCTGTTGACTGGATCTTTGCTTTGGAGGGATGGGTTGGTCAATGTTTCCAATATTGGCTAGAAACCTTAACTCTTAATGGACAGTTGGAAGAAGGTTCCAGCCTCTGAGATGAACCTTACTGTCTGACCCATTGCTGTTGTTAAGTGACACTGAGTTGGTTCCAACTCATAGTGATTCTGTATAGCATTTCCAAGGAGCGGCTGGTGAGTTTGAAGTGCTGACCTTGTGGTTAACAGTCCAGTGCTTATCCTATAGTGCCCTCTGTTTTTATTGTTACATGCCATCGAGTTGGTTCCGACTTACAGCGACCCTGTATAGTGTTTCCAAGGCTTTAGATCTTCGTGGAAGCAGAACACCTCATTTTTCTCCTCTGGAGTGGCTGGAGGTCTTGAACTATGGACTATGTAGTTTGCAGTCCAGTGCTTGTCGTCTAGAGCCACCACACTCATAGCAGCAGCTAGCAAGTACTTTACTGCTTTCTTGCCAAATCTTGCAACGAACTGGCCTTTTCTGCATGGCTGCCCACTATTTTCCACCTGGGCCTAATGCTGTCAGCAGAGGGCTTCAACCAGGAGAGGAAATCCCCACCTTCTCCTCCTATGACTTCCACAGCCCCTTGGAGCTCTGTCAAATATTATGAGTCACATGGCTTTTGGCCCAAGGAGAAATTCCCACACCTCAGCCATGCCCATCCATTGAGAGATCAGAAGCCTGGACTCTTAAGGAGAAAGTGTCCTTCACTTTTTTTATATTGTCTTGTGGAAGAAAATGAGACACACAATGACAGTATGGGATAGAAATTCTGCCACAAAACAGACATCACAGAGAGTCTCTGCAATTTATTGAATTATTCCAACAAGAGAGCACAAAGACAACAGTTTCAAGTACATTCCAATACATGTTTTTTGACAGGAATAGATATGTATTTAGTCATGAACGAGGGTGGCAGCCACTGCCACACATACATCTTACACATTCTCTTGGCACCATCAACCCTGAAGAAAGATGGAAAAGTGAGGTTTTCTCCAGGTTGGAGTGGGCTGCCACTGCTTGAGTCCTATGTTTAGTTTCTCTACAAGGTGGCTTCCTTTCCTGAAGCTTTCATTGCCCGTGGAAGAAAGACAACTCTTACTACAAAGCTGTGGAAGGATCTTTCAAAAGATGGCCACAGAGGGTCAGGAGAACAAACAGTGAGAGGGTTTCACAAAGACACCTGGTCACATGGTGGGGGTCTAAGCCCAGGTGCCCTGCCAGCTGAGAACTCTCACTGCCATTGGTACCTTCTGCTTGCTAAATGACTGACTTCTCCCTTTAAACCAAGGATGCCACACTGCTATTGTGTCCAGCGTTTCTGATTGATTTTCCATTGACTTGAAATCAGAATGGATGGATGTCAGGGGCTTATAAAGCCACCAGACTCCAACAGAGGTTGTAACCACCAGCCTTAAACATGCCACCCACTTAAAGAAGCCAAGACAAGACCTCCATACCAAGAAAAGTGGAGGACCACTGCTATCTAGAGGGCCTGACCCTGAGGAAGACCAAGGCCTCTTCTATATGTATAAAGCACGCAGTGCTGCGGTCAATGCTACACAGTGCTGTTCCTCATGGCAGGTGACCTCCTGAAAAAGGCTACAAGGTCAGATCCTGGACACCAAAGCCTCTCAGGGACCAATGTTTCTCCCTGCTGAGGCCAACCTCAGGGGCAGTTTCTTCAGCCCCTGCCCAAGGTGGGACTAAGCTCTGCCTATAAGCTGTCAGATTCAATCCTGGTCCCTTAGACAGGGACAGCCTCCAGACAGGCTGAATTTGCAGACAGGCTCCAAGTGCATACAATTTTCCAAGCCCAAGCTTGGAAAGATTTTGACCTAATAAGTAAATAAGAACTCGGATTGGCCCACTACCTGTGCTTCTGATGGTAGCTGAGGACAAGGGACCCTCGACCTAAACTTGTAACAGAGCATCAGTCATGATGAAGGCAGACAGACAGCTCAGATTCTAGGGACCAGCATGGCCTAAGGCAACAATGTTTAGTCCCCAGCAGCCTGAACACACAGTCCAGGAGAGGGGACCAGCAGTAAGCACATGGCACTAGCAAAAGAAATGCATACAAGGGCTCCAAGGAGAGTTTTTTCATGTGGGTCCCAAGGAATCCTCAATAAAAGAGGATGGGACATTTTAAGAAGACTCAACACTTGACCTTCTCTGAGGCCCCTTTCTGAAAAGGGCTGTGGTGTGGAGCACCCCACGGCATCCAGGCCAAGAGAGTGTGTGGCTCTCCACCAGTGATGGTGGTGGTTGTGTCCATTGGGCACAGCAAGAGCCGAAGGAACAACATTGCCTGACAATTACACACGTGAGAGTGGAGGGAGAGAGTTCCTGGTGACGACTGCTAGGCCATCTCCTCAGGCCCACAAAGAATGCCTTGCAAGTTAAGGTTGTACACCGAACCTTAGGGCGTGTGGAAACAACTTCACAACATAAATACAAAAGGAGCTGAGGTTTCTCCAGTGATGAGAATAAACAAGTTAGTTTGTTTACCTACTTTGGTTACCTACTTAAGTTTATCTGAATTCACAGTATAAGCAACACATCTAAATATAATATTGGGAACTCTGACAGCACAGATTTCCCAAACAAAGAAGCCAAAGGGGGGGAAAAAAGGGGGCTGCAACAGGAATTCTTAGTTATTATATACTAACCAGTCTGTGCATGGCACATTTTATTTCTATAAAACTATTAAACTATTACAAAATATTCAAAAATACATTTTAGTAAATTTACAGCAGTTATTTCTCAATTTATTAATGCAAAAACATCCTCTGTTTTTCTCTGTACAAACTACAGGTTCCATCCCTGCGGACTCATCACTATGTGCGCTTTTAAAAAATATTATCTTCTAATAAATTCTTTGAAGTTAAAAATAACAAAGTTTTTTCCAGTTTGTCCAAAAGGAAAAAAAGAGAGAGAGAGTCTGTGTGTGTAACAGTCTTGACTTCCAAGAATGTGGCCATATGATGTTTACAAAGCAAATACCAAAAACCATGAAGACAATACAGGAGATGGCTGTTACATTGGAAACTAGTTAAATTAAAATAATATATCTTCATATTTTACACTATTTCAAAAATGAAATGTAATTCAGTTAAGTATTGATCTCTCAAAAAATCTAATTTACAATTCTGTGTATAAAAATATAATTTGTGGACCCCCACGAAGCATGTTTCAATTTACACTAGCCGAGAACCAGTAGCGTTGCAAAAGAGGAATGAAAAGTACAGAATTTTGCTTTCTGACAGTCAGGATGAGGGACATGTAGAAAAATAGACTCTGAGCAGGTTGCTTGGCCTCGCAAAATAATCTCTCCCCCTGTGAGTACAGTTCACATGATCATAATAAATTATCCAAGAAACAAACTATTTAAGGCTCTTGAAGGTCCGGTTCATATTATTTAAAACATCTATTCATACCAAACAAATAAATAGCCAGGAGAGGAGGGAAAAATAACCAAAATAAAACAATAACAAAAAAATTAAAAAAAAAATACATATAAACTAAACACAACAACACAACTTCCCAGGGTCTTTGCTTCCTTATAGTCTACTTTGGACTGTCCTACTTTATTATTATTATTATTAATTATTATTATTATAATTAACAGTCTCATTCCGTTAGCTCAAGTCTTTTGTTTGACCTTGTTGTTGATCCCTCCCCCACCCCCGCACCCTGCCCCACCCTCCCACTCCCTCCCCCTTCCCGTCTTCCCTGGGTTTCAGCTGGACTTGACCGCCATGCCGAGGGGGTGCAGGGCCTCACTGTCCAACAGCCAGGTGCCTATTTGGTAGAGCAGCTGTGAGTACCAGTGGATGCCCGCAGCGGAAGCCGCCGCATCTGGCGCAGGGGCCGCATCTGGCGCGGGCGAGGGGAGCCGGCCGCCCCCATTGCTGCCGCTGCCGCCACCGCCACCGCGGTCCGTGCGTGAGGGCTCGAGCGCCGCCAGGAGAGCGTGCGCCAGGCGGAAGGGTGCGAAGGCCCAGTGCGCCCAGCTGTGCTCCTCGATGACGGCGTAACACGAGGCCAGCACCCGATTGATGAGGATGGTGCCCTGGGCCGTGAGTGGCGCGTATGCGCCCGTGGTCTCTTCGCGCAGCGTCACGCTGTGAACGGCGGCGGGCAGCAGTCTGCGGTCCCCGTCGCGCTCCGCCACCACGTACACACGTTGGCCGGGCCGCACACGGCTAGCGAAGAGCGCTCGGCGCCCCTCCGCGCCCCCTGGCGGCGACCTCAACCTGGCCCCAGCACTCGACGGCGGTTCCGGCTCCCAGGCAGCCACTGAGTCGTTGTGCGGAGCGACAAAGAGCAAGTGCGCGGCCGTCAGCAGCAGGCGCTCCCGCGGCTCCCGGGTTTCGATCACGTAGAAGACCTTCTTGGTGCCATCCTCGCGGTCTAGGAAGGTGAGGAAGTCACTGTAGAGTAGTTGGCCCTGGTCGTCGGCCGCCAGCACCCGGTCCCCAGGGCTCAGGTCCTTCACCAGTTTGGTGCCGCCCTGCTCTAGGTGCACAATGGCAGATCCTGGGAAGCAGCCGCCAGACTTGGCAGCCACTGAGTTCTCTGCAGGAGAGAAGTAGAGAAAAGGTGTGAGTCTCGAGAGGGAGGCACGTGTTGGGGAACCAGGAGAAGGAGGAGGCTTATTTGGTATCCTGCGCGCTCAAGACAGGATACGCATGGCGCCAGCCTGAGAGTCCCAGTAGGAACTCTTCCCCCATCCCTCACCTCGCCGCCTGGGTCCCCAAATTCAGATGTAAGCAAATCCTTTGTGACTCTTAGTAACTTCCAGGAGGTAATACAGGTTAAGTTGGCGTTACACTCAGTCCCCCTTCTGGCTACTTCCAGCCCCATCCGCCTGCTCAACAAGCCCCCTGCCCTCCCCCAACCTCGCCACGTATTCAGAAGGCTATTTGCTATCCACTTGAATTCCTCAAGGAAGGCTCCTTCAGTTCTCCCGGGGCGCCGGCTCCCCTTCAGTCCCTCCCGCCCCTGCCTCAGGGTATGGCACCTCATCGTGCGCCGCGGGGCAGCCTAGTGCGCTCTGCCAGGGGACCTAGTTCGAGGCTGGGCTAGTCTGCGTGCTAGGTAGACTGGGCAGTGGGAAATCGCTACAGTAGTTGTAGCAACTGGACAAACGTTCCAGAGAACTGGCTGAGGTGTGAAAAATCCGTGGCTTGTATAGATTTTATAATTAAAATCCAATAACAGGCTCAATATTGTCATTCCTAGACTAAATAGGAGGTACTCTTGGAAGAGAGGACACTTCCATCCCTTTCCCTCCCATTTCTCGACCCTCTCTCCAACTCTTTCTCCGCCCCGTCCCTATTTGCTCAGGTGCAATCCTCCCCGCCCCTCCCCCTCCCTCCCAGAGTGCCCATTCACACACAGGCTCTCCAAAAACCCCGGCCCTCACAAGCACTATTTGCACAGCACGACCTCTCTTCCAAGGCACTCAAGATGTGTATTTGAATTTTAAATGGCGGAGCCTGCATCGAGCGCTGGAAGCAGCCGGGTTCTCAAGGCCCCCTTGACTACCCAGCTTTCTGGATCCCTCTGTCGCTCTCTCTGGCTCACTGTCCTGAAGACAATAATTGAAGCCTGGGGCGGAGCAGAGGGGGTCAGGAGTGGGGTGGGGGAAAGACGACATCTTCTTTGCATTCCAATCTCTAGGATCATACTTTTTGCAAATAGAGATCACGAGAAAGAATCTTTCTGCCGGAATTACAGAGGATTTTTAATCTTCTCATCAGTTTCTCCGTCATGAAGCTCGGGGCTGGTTGTTCGAGCCCTGCTTTAGCGCCCCCGGAATGCGACCCAGTGAGCCTCGTCGTCGAGTCACACGACCCTGCTTGACACACGCTACATCGTGCCCCCGAGCCCCTTGTGCGCGGAATTCTAATGAGCGGCTCTCTAGGACCTTGGAATTCTTTTCTCCTTGGAAGAGAGCCTCAGAGCGGGATTACCGCTGCTCATTTGGGAGGGGGCCACTGGGCACCCACGCCAGGGGAACCCTCAGGGCAGGGGTGACCTGAGGAGGAGGCCTTGGGCACCTATCTAGGGAAGTCGACCCCAAGCCTCCGCTGGACCGGAGGAAGGCGCACCGGGGGCTCCTGCCCCCTCTAGTTCCCACTCCCAAAGCCAAGTGGAAAGAAAAACCCAGCAGAAGGGTTCAACCGCAGAGGACAGGATAGTGGGCCACCTACCCTGTCTCCTTGCAGCCTAGAGTCTTCACCTCTGAAAATTCAACCTTTCTCCATCACCCCTTCCACCCACACCTTCTCTCTGTTGTTACAAGAAGTCATTATTTATTTCCTTTACCTACAAAGCGTGTCTTGACACTTTAAAAGTGTTTCTCTACGAAAATATGCCATTACAATACAGTTTAGAAGACACACAGACAAAACTGGGGGAGGCAAGTAGGGGGAGAAACAGTTCCTCCGAAATTAACTGTGAACTGTTTTGCTAAATGCGCCAATTTATGCTGAGAAGTGGAGAGATCCGTAGTTTCCAGATTGGGGTATTTGCGTGTGTGTAATGCTTTTCTTTCCTAGCTATTCCTCGCCAGCGACAGCATGTGGCGTTGCAAGCTCAGGGAAATCAACCTGACACAACAAATTGGAGTTGGGGTCGTCTAGCTGCAGACTGGAGCTAGCTGCGTTCGGCTTTCCTCCATTCTCGCCCACAGTGCAGGGCATCCCAGCTGGGCTCTTAATAGCAACGGATGCTTCTGGGCTTGCAGCCCTCCAGATGTTGGAAGTGGTAACTCCAGGGTTTATTACCTCCCACCAGGACTCTCCCGAAAGGCTTAACGAGTGAGTTAAGTTAGTCTAGTATCCACAGGCGCCCCACAGGGAGGACGGGAGGCGGGGCTCACGCCTGGTACTCGTTTGGAAACTTGAGAGGAAGGCTCTAGGCCAGACCTCTGGGAATGGGCAAGGCTGGAAAGCTGCGATCTCGCTTAGCAAAGTCCTATTTTCCCCTTCCTCCTCCTCTAAGTCTTTCTTTCCCGAGTCTCCACTACCTGAAATGGGGGCTCCGGAAACAGGGGTGGGGTAGGGCTAAGGAAGCCCCTCTGCGTGTGGGCTTCGAGAATCTTGGCCTCTGTGAAATCCCCAAATATAGGGGCAATGCCTGGTTTAGGAAACGCCTCGGTGGGTATGATACCAGAACAGATACACTGCAGACATCATCCCAATTTCTTTTCGTTCCTGCCCCTCAATCCCTCCCACAATCCCCCCACTATTTCTCTCTTTCCTTGGGATCAGTCTGGGTGCTCACAATTGATAGTCTCCAGAGACAGATTTGGGAATCACACAGGTGGGGTGGGGGGTGTATTCCGTATGGGAGGAGGGAGATGTGCAGAAAGACTGCTTTTGCTGCCGCCTTACCTGCTTTCACAGAGCAGTGGATGTGCGCTTTGGACTCGTAGTAGACCCAGTCGAAACCGGCCTCCACGGCCAGGCGGGCCAGCATGCCGTACTTGCTGCGGTCGCGGTCCGACGTGGTGATGTCCACTGCGCGGCCCTCGTAGTGCAGCGACTCCTCCGAGTGGTGGCCGTCCTCATCCCAGCCCTCGGTCACCCTCAGCTTCACTCCTGGCCACTGGTTCATGACCGAGATTGCTAAGGCGTTCAACTTGTCCTTACATCTCTGCGGAGAGAAGGGAGACCCAGGCGTGGGACTCATTAGCGTTCGTCACCTGCATCCCTATTCTAGGTCCTCGCGGCTGAGCGACCCTCCACCCCTGCCCAGAGCAAAACTGCCCAGTCTTATGAAGAGAAGTGGGAGACGGGGCCTGGGCATGGGGCCCAGCTTCCTCAGAATGAAGGCACAGAAGAAGATGGAGTAAGAGATGCCAGCAGGAGCAGGGCCTCCTGGGAATGAGCTGAAGGCCTTTCTCCAAATTCTGAAATAGCTGATGCTCACTTTGTGACCTGAGGAGCAGATGAATACAACCACCACCACCACCCAAACTGTTTGTTTTGACATTAGTCCCAAGAGGCTCCTAGGTGCCCTCAGGTGAGGGCCCCAGCCCCAAAAGAGCCCTCCACTTTGCCTGCTTCCTTTCTCTGGACACATTTCTCCACACCTGTGCAAGCTTCACCTAACTCCTGGGCTAAATTACTCACTGGGACCCTCAGTCAGAAGTTCATAAGGAGGCCAGAGAGAGGCCCAGGGTGCAACTTGGCAGAACTAAGGAAAAATACACATACTGTACACTTTTTAAAGAATAAAAAGACTGTCGTTTATCTCCAGACCCTCCCTCCTAACCCCTGGATTATCTGAGGTGAAAATTAAGCCAAAGTTAAGAAAGGGAGGTGGGAACCGATAGCAAAAGCATAAGGGGCAGGAGAACACTGGAGTGAAAAGCAACCAGGTGAGTTATAATTTTCAATATGGGCCAGGGCTGGGATGACAAACATTCTTTATCTGGACAACCACATTCTTTTTCTCTGTAGAACTTTTTTTCTACCTGAGTTTTTTGTGCTTCTTGTTTTCTTTAACCTATTCCCTTCCTCCCCTCTTGTTTTCTTGGCCCCAGTGGAGAATGGTGTCCTGCAAGTTTGAAGAGCAAACTTAACAGGTGATGGAAGGGGGGTGGGTGAGTGAGTGTGTGGATCAAGTCACAGACTTTGTGTGTGGCAGGAGTAAGGGTGGAATGGGGGAGGAAACAACCCCCATCAGAAAGAGGACACAGAAAGGCCTGAAGCCTTTTTTTGGGGAGTTCCTCTCTTATCCCTCCCCAACCCTCACACACACACACACACACACACACACACACACACACACACACACACACAGAGTAAACGAAGTTGCATGCAGAATCAAAGAAACATTGAACAGACTTGATCAAAACTAAAGTAAAATGGGATTTGGGGTTATGGTATCCCCCACCCCATAATCCTTTGCTTTATGGATTAGAATCAAGTAAAAATGTGATAAGTCTAGTTGAATCACATGTGTATGTGTTTGTGTGGAGCACTAAACTCACTGGGGTGGACTGGTGCTGGTAGGGAATTCTAAAAAGAGAGGTTTAAAGCAATGATAGGGGCACTCAATAGGTAGATATAATTGGAGGCTGGAGACATTCAAGTTGACTTCTGCAAAGGGTAGGACTAACCTCCCTAATCTCCTCCAGGTGCCTCTCTAAGACACCTCTTCTCAACAAGGTTTCCGGATGGAAAATTAGCCTCTATTAAAGCCCTTAATCATAGCAACGAGTGGAAACTCTTTTGCTAAAAGGGGGCGGGGATCTTTGTAGAAGGACTGCTGCCTACTTTTAAAGGGGACACGAGAGATTATTTAACAAAAAGCGTGTTAGCAATAAAAAACAATCAAACAGTAATGTAGGTTGTAGAGGTAAACATATACAAATGGGTAGTGGTAAAGTGTGCTTCGGAGGGAGGGACTGCAGACCCGGTAACAGGCCAAAGCTTGCAGTTTTGGGGCCTGCCAGGTCTTTTATTTCTTAAAAAAAAAAAATTGGGAGGGGAGAATTTGAGTGAGGTCATCCTGAGGATTGAACTCATTTTCCATGAAAATCAACCAGCAAACCAGGGTCAGTTTAGAGCAGGGATATGAAGCCGGGGTGCGCGCAGGCGCACACACACCGACACGCTCGAAACACACCCCCATTCTGTTGCTTTTAGAGGGGAAGGGACTCTTTAAATGGCAGCTGGGCTGGGGGAACGGAGCAGTGGGGAGGCCTCATTCCCATCCCCCAGACCCCTTGAAATGCGCCACTTGGAAAAGACGTAGAGGAACCCAAGAGAGGAGCCTCAGGTCGAACCAGGCCGGGTGAGTGGATGTGGAGGTGCTGCGGACGCGCCGAAGCCTAGGGGCTGGCCCGAGTGTACCCCCGGCACGGTCTTTCTCCCCACCCTCCGACCTTACGGCAGAACTCTGGCCGGCCCCAGGATCGGGCGCGGCCTCGGCCAGCGTCGGCAGGACGCTCTTGGCTCCAGCCCACTGACTGGTTGGAGGCAAAGGCCCTGCAGTCCCGACCAGTTGTTCATTCACTGGGTCATGTGCCGCGAATCAGCCCGATTCTGTGCAGTCACAGTGAAGCCCAGCGGGGCTGCCTTGGCGCGGGCTTTGTGTCAGCCCAGGCAAAGTTGTTCCACACGCCTCAGCTCCTCGCCACACTCTCTAATCTCCACCCAAACGAGTGCGCCGAGCAGGCGCTCGGCAGTACCTGTCGCTGCAAACAGCCAGGCGGGCTTCCCCCGCGCCAGAGCGTGGGAGGGGACCCTGACTTCAAAAAGACCTCTAACACCGCAACACCGCCTCTCTGTACCCCTCCAACACACAGAGAAACCCCCTTCCATGAAAGCAGAAAACCCTCCCCAAGCTCATACACTGTCTGACTGGCTTTGCCCGGCGGCTGCAGAGCAAGCAGGAAATGTATGTAACATGTCCTTTCAGGTTAAGCCCCAGACTGCAGCATCCAGACCCGCCCCGGTCCGGCCTCCTACCCCTCGCAGCGCCCCCTCGCCACCAGCACCCCGGGAGCTGGCACCCGGGGCCTGCGCCGGGAGAGTGGTCTGTCTGCGTTCCCTTCTCCCGGGTTAATATTAACTAGGAGCTCATGCGTTCAAGAACTGCTCTGAAAGTTCCACTGGGGAAGGTCTTGCCATGGTTGAAGGACTTGGGCAGCAGTCACTTAGAGAGACCTAGAGATACACCCAGAGACACGGAGAGAGACGAGACAGAGAAGGAGAAACTCTAGATGTACTACTCCCAGAGCTGAGTCTAGGCACTTATTTAAACATGAGGAGGAGCCCAGCGGGTGAGCGAGTTCCCAGAGGAGCCCCAGACCTTCACACTGCCTAGGAGGCACTTCATTGCCTCTGAAGCCTACAAGTGCGCTGCCCCTACAAGACCCTAGTCGTCCGTCTCTCTCTCTCATTCCTGTCCCCGCCCCCCTCTAACTTCTGGAATCGGCAGAAGAGGGAAATGCCTAGAGAGGGACAAACCAGGGGGCACATTCCACCTGCCACCTCCCAGGTCATCCACGTTTTTAGGGTATCTTGGGGTGGGGTCAGTGTTGTAATCGTGGCCTGGCTCTCCCCACCCCACCTCCAGTTTGGCTGCCCCTCCCCCCTCCTTTTGTGTTGGGAACGGGAATGGCCACTGCTGAAGGAAAAAAAGTATTTGTTTTCGTTTCGTTCGTCTGAGGGAAGTTGACAGAAGGTCAGAAGTTCAAATGCTGCCAGCGAATGCGGCGGCGCGAGTGGAGAGGCGTGGGGCGGGCCCGACCCTGGATTCCCGGGCAGGGCGGGCGGGAACGCGCGGCAAGGGAAAGCTGCACGAGGGGCTAGTTGCGATGAGCAGGGGCCGGGAGACCCTGGAGGCCCTGTCGGCGGCTGCGGGCAGAGCTGCGCAGCGCGGAGTTGCGTGCGTCGGACGCCTGCCCAGCCTCGGCATCACCACACCCCTGCCTCCACCCCGCGCGCGCCCCTCCCCCTCCGCCGCCGGGTTAATGAGAGTGATTAGCGCCCCATTAGGATGAACCCCATGCTGGTGGTTCTGGAGCTAATTCCTGCGTGTGCGCTTGCAGAGCAGGGACCGTGCAGCGGCGGCGGCGCGAGCCCAGCTCGGCCGCACAAACTGAAACCCTAGTCGCTGAGATCGATAACCGAGGAGTAAGTGGATCTGAAAATGCGTCTGACTTGGGGCTCGGCTCCGCGGGCCCACAGCTTTCCAGAAGGGCGCTGAGGACCTAGAGCTTGGAGCAGGGGGCACGGAGCTCGGTGGGTGCCCCTTGAACCCACAAGGGCAGACGTTGACTCACCCTGACTTGGGACCCTCCAGTGTTCCCGCCCCACGCCTCTTTGCTGGCCTCCACCATCCGCGCGAGTGCCTAGAGCCCCGGGAAGACTCCCCGCGGGGAGCAAGGATAACCTAGGAGGGGCGCTGAGGGTGAGCTGGAGAACTTCCTCCAGCCGGCCGCAGCCCCCAGAACCCGGGGCCACGCAGAGCTAATCGAGGCTTCACTGTGGCACAAGCGCGCGCGGTCACACTCTCTGGCCAGATTTAAGGTGGTCAGGTTCAGATGAGGGAGACCGAGGAATAAGAATCCTCTCCTTCGCTCCCACTCCTCCCCACCGATCAGCTGGAGCTGGCTCTCCCACAGCCCCTTTCTCGGCTCCCCCTTAGCCAGCCCAGGAATCCGGTGGAAAGTGGAACCGTCCTTTGATAGCTCCTCTCTGCTCCCCCCCCCC